GTTATCTCAAACTACCCGAGAATGAAAAAGAATCAAGATAATTTTTTTCTTCATTTTTCGTTCATTTTCAGTGAGAATAATTACAGTATTAATCGACACATATATCCACATACACACACAGTCACACCCACTTACACACACCCACAGTCACACCAACCTACTACACATCAACACCCACGCCCTCACACCCACCTACACACACCCAACCACACACACCCCCCCACACACACACACACACACACACACACACACACACACACACACACCTACACCTGAGCCATCCCTGAGACAAATCACGTCAATCTGCTCTCAATTATCTTCTAAGAAGTACAAACAGTATTCCTTTTCCTCGCCAATGGACTCTCCCTTCCCATCCTCTACCATTTCCCTCCCTGCTCCATTTGCTCTCAGCCTCCCCCACTCCTTCCCTCTTCCACTCTCCACCCCGTCCTCTTCCTTCTCTCCACCGTCTCTTCTCTTCCCTCTCCACCGTCCTCTTCCCTTCCTCTCTGCGTCCTCTTCCTCTTCCCTCTCCACCGTCCTCTTCCTTCCACTCTCCACCGTCCTCTTCCCTTCCTCTCCCACCGTCCTCTTCCCTTCCACTCTCCACCGTCCTCTTCCCTTCCTCTCCACAAATCCTCTTCCCTTCCACTCTCACCGTCCTCTCCCTTCCCTCTCCACCGTCCTCTTCCTCTTCCACTCTCCACCGTCCCATTCCCTTCCCCTCCACGTTCCCTTCCTCCCCTCTCCTTTCCCTCCCCTCCCCTTACACACCAGTTCTAAGAGACTCCCACCTTACTCAACATAACCTAACCTAACTTAACTTACCCTAATCTAACCTAACGTTACATAGTTTAACCTAATCTAACCTAACCTTACATAGTTTAACCTAATCTAACATAACTTGACCTAACAGAAGAATTTTTATCTATCATTTTACTGAAACATGGACTTAACTAACCCATGACTGCTTCAGGGTCACCAAACAAGCCAGGGCAGACCAGATCAGGTCAGATCGAGCCGAGCCGAGCCAAGCCAAGCCAGGTCAGGTCATATGGTTGACCTCAAGAACGCTTCGATGAATTGACACACGTGACCTCTTCCTCCTTCTGCAGTAGTATAGTTCTGCGAGAGGCGACGAAGGAACACGTGACCCAACATCGACAATGGAGTGAAGACGAAGGCGACGACGACGGGCGACAGTGAGTGACATTTGGCGAGAGACAGAGGCGACTGGTAGAGCAACAAGGACATGAACACGGCGACAAGGACATGAACACGGCAACAAGGACATGAACACGGCAACAGGGACATGAACACGGCAACAGGGACATGAACACGGCAACAGGGACATGAACACGGCAACAGGGACATGAACACGGCAACAGGGACATGAACACAGCAACAGGGACATGAACACAGCAACAGCGACATGAACACAGCAACAGAGACATGAACACAGCAACAGGGACATAGACACAGCAACAGGGACATAGACACAGCAACAAGGACATGAACACAGCAACAGGACATGAACACAGCAACAGGGACATGAACACAGCAACAGGGACATGAACACAGCAACAGAGCATGTGAATACAGCAACAGGGACATGAACACAGCAACAGAGACATGGAATACAGCAATAGAGACATGAATACGGCAAATAGGGATATGAACATAAGCAACAGAGATATGAACACAGTAAATAGGGACATGAACACAGCAACAGAGACATGAACACAGCAACAGGGACATGAACACAGCAACAGAGACATGAACACAGCAACAGGGACATGAACACAGCAACAGAGACATGAACACAGCAACAGAGACATGAACACGGCAACAGGGACATGAACACAGCAACAGAGACATGAACACAGCAACAGGGACATGAACACAGCAACAGAGACATGAACACGGCAACACGAAAATGACGGGGCGGGTCAGCGGTGTTTTAGGGCGTCACGTGGACAGCCCCGACGAGTCACAATACCATATTTTTAGTCACAGACATTTTCACGTCGACGGTGACTAGAGAGGCGCGCGCACGCACGCACACACACACACACACACACACACACACACACACACACAGAGCCCTGGTTATTGATCACTAACTGTTATCGACTACAGAGGAAACTGTGATCACAGGGGGAAGAGGAGGGAAGGGAGAGGGGTGGAAGGTTCAAGGCGAGGTGGGGAGGAGGATAGGGTAGTGGTGGATATATTGCAAGGTGGGGAGGTGAAGCGGGGTGGGTTGAGTGGTAGGTGGCTGTCTGTGTACGGGCAGCCACTCACGACAGACGCGTATCTTTACTCCTCCACACCTGTGTCTTGCTCCGCACACCTGCTCTTCTGACATGTGCACCCCCCACACACACACACTTGTTCAGGGTCATAATATTGCAGTTACTTATAAAAGAAGGACAACTTAAATACCATTAACACAAGGTACATGACTCGTATGTATAGTAAACTGATATAACGGACTTTTTACTCGATATAATCCGTTAAATGGGGGTTTCACCTTTAACGGACCCTCGATATAACGGACTTTTCATTCCAATATTATCCGTTATAAGGGGGATTTTCACATATAACGGAGGTAAGGCTAAGTTAAGTAGGGTTAAATTAAATTAGCTAAGTTTAAGTTAAATTAGGTTAGTTTAGGTTAAGTTAAATTAGGTTAGTTTAGGTTAAGTTAAGTTAGATTTCCAGTATAAGTTCTGCATATACTTGCAATATATAACAAACACCACCATTTGTTATTATATATTACCAGTATTATAATTATATTAGCTATACTACTTAATATAACACCTTATCATATTCCACACGCCCCTTTAAATACACCCACTCGCTACAAAATCACTCCACACACATACGCTATTAACCTCACATAAACATTAATTATATCAACCAAATTACTGCTATATATTAAAATTTCCATACACTGAATATATATAATCTTATTTAAATATACCACTATATGAACGGAGGAAGGCAAAAACTATATATTCAGCAATGGTGTTAAGGTCAGACTCAATGTTAAAAGGATATATAATGCTCTAGTTAATATATAGAATGTGTGATATATGACTAATATTTATATACTCAAGAGTACTTTAATTCTAGAGATCTAAATACGAATTTATTTTTACAGAAATATCTACGGCATTAATTCACACTTCAATTATATTTTATCCCTTTGTGGACGATGGTTTTAACCCTTTGTGGACGATGGTTTTAACCCTTTGTGGACGATGGTTTTAGCCCTTTGTGGACGGTTTAAAACCTTTGTGGACGATGGTTTTAGCCCTTTGTGAACGATGGTTTTAGCCCTTTGTGAACGATGGTTTTAGCCCTTTGAGGACGATGGTTTTAACCCTTTGTGGTCGATGATTTAACCCTGTCACACCCCCTCACCCCTTACCCCTCACTTGGACCCGTTCACCCCCTGACCCTGACCTCTTACTTGGTCATTTTGTTGTTTTAAATTCTTGTTATTTACCTCGTAAATGATAAACAACACACCTTTACCCCATTGCGTTGTAACTATCAAGACACAACTCAACCCCATCATCAGCAACTCAACCCCATCATGATAACTCAACCCATTAACTCAGCAGTAACTCAACCCATCTTATAAGTAACTCAACCCACATTATAAGTAACTCAACCCACATTATAATGTCAACCCACATTATAAGTAACTCAACCCACATTATAAGTAACTCAACCCACATTAACTCAACCCACATTATAATCATTATAAGTAACTCAACCCACATTATAAGTAGCCTTCACTTTTCCCTGAGTACGTTGTGGTGACACCTGATATCTCTATTACACTTAAGACTTATACTTAACCCAACGGTAAGGTGATGCTGCCCAGACGCTGTACAAACACTACGAGCTGAACCAGGTGAGAGAGTCTTGAGATCCATTTGGTATTTGAACTTAATGAGCTTAATCATCTTCACTAAAAACACACACACAACAAGAAATAAAGAAGAGAGAGAGAGAGAACACCATTCGCCAGAATCTCCCTCCATTAACACCACTACCACCATAAAGGTGTAATATAAACTAGAATAAATACAACAGGGTCTTCTTCTTCATCTTCCAGGGTATAAGGAACAAGGTTATGGGCGTGAGGGAGGACCAAATGGGTGCTGTGGGAAGGCTAAAGTCACCACCGATCAATACTCTAACTGGCCAATGATTCACGCCCGCCACCTCTCTCTCTCTCTCTCTCTCTCTCTCTCTCTCTCTCTCTCTCTCTCTCTCTCCGTCTACATTATCAGTCAGTGAGTAAGTGACCGGATGAGTGAGTCTTTTGATAAGTTATTTTATAATGTTGAGGAGACAAATGTGTGCACAAGTACACTATGTAATCTCATTAGTATACACACACACACACACACACACACACACACACACACACACACACCTTTCCCACTTAATTCAGTCTTTTTTATTATAAATATAAACGCCTAATGACTTTATTCATGCCTAACCTAACATAGCATAACTTAACCTAACCTTCCATCTTCCCCTAAGTCCATGACCCGATTAAATATACACTGTATTTAAGTATTCAACGGTGTTTTAAGGGCACACCTGCCATAGAAGTCGTGGCTTGAGTTTACTAGTAATATCCCCAAACACATTGGTGACTAATATCACAAACTACATATTCTTTAACATATAATTTACTCAAAATAGCAAAAGAATTGGTTTAGAATCCTGGGCCCACTTAGACGTACTATAAAAGGTTTGGAACCTTAGACGTATAGAACCACTTTAGACGTACCCTGTACTTCAATAGGTTTAGAACCCCTTTAGACGTACTACAATAGGTTCAGAACCACTTTAGACGTACCCTGTGCTTAACAGGTTTAGAACCCATTTAGAAGTACTACAAAAGGTTCAGAACCCTTACTACAACAAGGAGGACTGGTACTCTGGATGGTACTCTCACTGGTACTCACTTCATTTGTTTTACGATAGTACTCTTGCCGGACTCGCCCGCGCCTGTTGGAACAAGAGAATACTGATTTAGTACACAGAACTATATACTTACATGAGATAAGATTAATGATGATACTACTACTACTACTAAGAATAATAATAATAATAATAATAATAATAATAATAATAATAATAATAATAATAGTAATAGTAATAGTAATAATAATAATAATAATAATAATAATAATAATAATAAATAAATAATAATATATTAATAATATATAATAATAATATAATAATAATCATTATAATAATAAATTAAATAAAACAATAACAATAAAATAACAACAATAATATTAATTGTAATAATAAATAACAATAATACTATGCTAACAACAATAGCAATAATAATATTAATAAAATAACAATACTAACAATCATAACAATAACAATAAAATCGTTATCATTAACCCCGATAACCGCACAAGTGACAGTGAAGTAACACGCTGTAAGATAACACAAGAACACCAAGAACAATAACAAGAGCAGATGGAAGACGAAGTTGCTAATAAGACAAACCACTAGAGTCGTTCTTAACCACACCTGTACGTGAACTAATTAAAACACCTTTCTCATAATTAAGTCTTCTTCTCTCCTTCTACTCCCTAACTACAACACCCCCCCCTCCCTCCTGACCCCCAATATCGTCCTCCTAGTGACAGTTCTGGCCCTTGGAGACATGAGAACTCTACCACACGTATCTCCTCTTCCTTTGATTCAAGAGACTCAGCTCAGGGTCAAACTTACATCACTTACCTGGCGTCCAGTCTCGCTTATTCAGGTGATGAGTAAGGTGTGTTTCTCTCTCTCTCTCTCTCTCTCTCTCTCTCTCTCTCTCTTACAGTATGAGGTAAGCTCTATGCTAAACTTTTACACGACACACACACACGGATACCAAACACGCCACCACATCAGGAAGATCGAACCAGGAACACTGAACTAGCAGCTAACAGTACGATAACCTCTCTTCCTGCCCATATACCACAGCGATATGGCGGGGGGAGGTGGGGAGTGGAAGTGGGGGTGTGGAGGTGAGGTGTGGAGGTGGGGGTGTGGAGGTGGGGGTGTGTGGAGTGGGGGTGTGGAGGTGGGGGTGTGGAGGTGGGGGGTGTGGGTGGGGTGAGTGAGGGTTGAGGTGGTGTGAAAGGTGGAAGGGGTGTGGGAGGTAGAGGAAGAGGTGGGGGTGTGGGGGTAGGGGGGTGGGGGCAGAGGTCAACTATCTCTAAGCCACTTTACGGGTGAGAAATGAGTGAGGAACCAACCAGGCGTGTGTGTGAGCGTGTGTGTGTGAGCGTGTGTGTGAGAGCGTGTGTGTGTGTGTGTGTGAGCGTGTGTGTGTGTGTGTGTGTATCACCTGTGGACAGATACAAGCGCACAGCACACACAGGTTTCCATATGTACACACACGGGGTCTGGTTCGACCGATAAACCCGTGTTTTCAGTGTTTTAATTTGTTTTATTCTTTTGTTTTAATAACTTGTTCGTGTTTTAATAAGTCTTGTCCTTGTTTTATTGTGTTGCCTTTTGCTTGCTGTACACGGTAACTGAATCTCTATAGTAGTGTATAGAGTCCAGCTGTCCATTTTCTAAACCTGCGCGCGCATGTGTGGGGAGGGGAGGTAGTGAGGTGCTGGAGGGAGGAGGAGGAGGTAAGCGAGGAGGTTGAGAAAGAATGAGAAAGAGAAGAGAAGGAGAGGAGAGGAGGAAAAGAGAGGGAGAGGAGGAAAAGAGGAGAGGGAGGAAAGAGAGGGAGAGGAGGAAAAGACAGGAGAAACGATTCTTAAACACCCAATCGGACCTCATTTGGGTGGTGGGTGTCTAATCTCATGTAGTGGGGTGTCTAATCCTATGGTGGGGGTGTCTAATCCTCATGTAGTGGGGGTGTCTAATCCTCATGTAGTGTGTCTAATCCTCATGTGGGGGGTGTCTTAATCCTCATGTAGTGGGGGTGTCTAATCTCATGTAGTGGGGGTGTCTAATCTCATGTAGTGGGGGTGTCTAATCCTGTGGGTGTTTTTCATGTAGTGGGGGAGAGTTCAACTCATGTAGTGGGGGGTGCTCCATCTTCATATAGACCATCTTAATGTCAGCCAGCCAGCCAAGTGAAGTGGACAGATCATACACCCTACCAATCCCATTCATCAACACACACACACACACACACACACACACACACACACACACCAACGTTGTACTCCTCTTCCTCCATCATATTCTCCTCTAAAGCAACTTCTCTTCTTCCTCCTCTTCCTCCTTCTTCTTCTTCCTCCTCTTCCTCCTTCTTCTTCTTCCTTCTCTTCTGCCTCCTTCTTCTTCATCCTCTTTATTTAAATTCTCATCTAAAATCACCACTTCTTCTCCTCCTCCTCCCTCCATTACCTAACCAGGCAGTAAGGAAGAAGGCGCTGGGATCACAAGGAGGCAATGTAGAGGGCAGCACCAACATACTGGAGTCTTCACAGGGCGTCGAGTGGCCGTCACAAGGGGAATGAAGGTCGACTGTGAGGGTGTCGACAGGGGGTGGAGAGGATTGTCGATAGGAGAGTCGACTGTGGGGTGGAATGTCATAGAGGTGAATGTAAAAGATAAGATGGCGGAGTGTCGACAAGGAGGAGAAGGGGTGTCACCACTTACCATCCCTCCACCCACCCACCCACCTACCTAACCCACCCACTTACCAACTCGAATTTACCCACCCACTTACCAACCTCCTGACCATCCAATTAACCCACTACTCTCCTTACCAACCCTGACCCACCCATCTACCTTACCAACCCCTGACCCAGCCACCCACTCACTAACCAACCCCTGACCCACCCACCACCCTTACCCTGACCCACCCACCCATCCACCCCTGACCCACCCACCATTTCACTCACCCACCCATCCACCCACCTCGACTCCAGCCACTCTGGCCCAGCACCCACCCACTTACCAACCCCTGGCCCAGCCACCCACCACTGGCGAACCAACACATTTTAATAGCCTGTTCATCCTGTTAGCGAATGACAGTCATAAACGCGTCAGTCAGACCAGTTAAAATATCCTGCTCTATCAGTTAACAGTAAAACAGGATAAACACAAACAATAAAACCGGATTCGACACAAACAATAAACCGAATCATAAGCCGGAATCAACGGAGCTAGGTAGGTTGGGTGACGGGGATAGTAGGGTGGTATCAATGGGGTTGGACTGAAATATGGGACAAACTAAAAGAGAGGTCTATCTTGTGAATGGGGATGCTATCATCGGGGTAAGAAGACGAAGAAGAAAGGGAAGCAGGCAGGCATGGACGTGTGACTCCAGTACACACACACACACACACACACACACACACACACACACACACACACACACACACACACACACACACATTACTTTCATGTTCTTTGTTACATCGTCACAGTTAGTACAGGAAAAACACGTCACAGAATTGTCATGGCTTAGGTCATGTTGCGCCCCTCAAAGTTATCTATGACGTGACGTCAAACAGTCACCCATGCTATACGTAGGGAGTGCAAGGAGAGATGGTGACGTAGGGAGAATAATGACGTAGGGGAGATATTGACGTAAGGAAAGCGAAGGGTGGAAGGAGGTGAGGAAGTGCCACAAGTGAAGTAAGAGTGAGGTAACAGTGCCACTAATTAGGCTTTAAAGGCAGGCACTCCACATAGGGAGGAAACAGGAGAAAGGAACGACGATAATAAGGAGAGGGAGAGAGAGAGAGAGCTGCCAGCCACCAAACGTAAGCCACCACGTGTTTAGTCAGAACACAGACCAACCATTGAGCTGCCTCCTGCTGTCTGCGGCTGCTTGTGTCTGGGTTCAGGTCCACTATTCTCCCCCTCTTCCCTTCTTCCACGTGTCCCTCCCAAACTCCACCAGTTGGGGGGTGAAGGAAGAGGAGTAGGGGTGGTGTAAGAGAGGGGAGGAGTGGGAGGAGGGGTAGTGAATAGGTGTAGAGGTGAAAAGGGATGAGGAGAAAGGAAGATTAACACAGGAAGGTAGGAACGAACGGGATGAAGAGAAGAGGAAAGAAATGGAAAGGAAAAAGAAAGGAAAGGAAAATAACGAAACAGGATGCAGAAGTAGACAAGAAAAGATGGGGTTCCTCTGAGGTGAATTAAATCACTAAGGTAAATATGTGTTTAAAGTGACGACCGCCAGAGTGAAGGGCTTAACACCTCACCTGGTGAAGACGACAAGGTGAGTTAAACGTCCTTCCTCCTACCATCCCACGTCCCCAAACCATCCTCCATCCCAACGTTCCCAATCTGGTCCATCATCCCTACGTCCCCAAACCATCCTCCATCCTAACGTTCCTACTCGTCCATCATCCCACACGTCCTTCCACCATCCTTCATCCTACACGTCGTTAATACCCGGCCGTGGAAGCTGCTGCACCGCTAGATAACAACATCAATATTATATTTACGACCATGGTGAGGTGCTGCTGGGGGTGAGGAGGGGAGGGAGGGAAAGGTGGAGGAGGAGGAGGGTGAGGTAGAGGAGGAGGGGAGGAGATGGAGGAGGAGGTGGAAGAGGAGGAGGAGGTGCTAGAGAGGGAGGAGGAAAGGAGAAGAAAAGAGGAAGAGGGGAGGAAGAAGACGAAGAGGAGGAGAAAGAAGGATAGTGAGGGGGGGGAGGTAAGGGAATGGTGAGGGGAGATAATGATGGCGGAGAAGAGAAAAAGGGAGGGAAAAGGAAGGAAGAGAAAAGAAAAAATAGATATTTTAGGCTATGTGTAACCCCACCCACCACCCCACCACCCACAACCCTACCACCTACATTAATATCCAAAGCCAATATTTAGTCCACAAACAAATTTATCAACATATCTTCACTATAACCTGAGTCTACAATATTTACTTCAGGGATATATTCAAGATCTCTTAATTATAGCCACAACATAATGAAAATAATAATAAAATAATAATAATAACAATGATAATAATAATAATAGTAATAATAATAATAATAATAATAATAATAATAATAAAAC